GATCCAGACTCTGGGAATGTATTTTTATAGTTTCATAATGGAAAAAGCCATACCTCACAATGTGAATTGTATGAAGTGGGAAAAAAAAAACAACTTTGCATTAAATTCTGCTGCTGCTGGTTCATAAATGTGATTCACACGTTAGCTGCTGATGCTATGAAGTTGCTAACCTCAAAATGGTTACCTGAATAGCAAGCAGCTGTTCAGAAGGAAAAGCCTCTCCAGGTTGAGAGGTACTGTGTTTATTTCATGGTGATTTCGAAGTTTTACAGCCTTTTGCAGAGTCCACAGCTTACTGTGCTCCATAGAAGTGAGCCTAAGTGGTTCCCTGTCGATAAGGAAGAAGCACTGGATTACAGGCTCTAGTTGCAGCTCTGAGACTACAGATCTCTCCTGTGTGATATACTCTGCATTTTTTTTACTGGCCTTGTTATGAATGTGGTTAGCCTGAAAGGTCTGTGATTTGTTAGGAAAACCTTGTGATTTCATGAGGTGAAGGCTCAGATTTGTAGATCTAGCGTGTCTATCAAGCATGAGGGATGGCTCAGTGGAAGGAAGGCACTTGTGACATGGGGAACTGCTTGCTTCCTGTGTGTAGAATCATCATGAGTCAGTACTACCAACCTGAAACTGGCTTAGTAAGCATCCAGCTAATGTCATCTGCAAACTGAGGTGTAACGTGGACTAGCAAAGGCTCAGTTTACCCTGCAGTAGTGTGTGCTCTCTTCTTCAGGATCTGACATGCTTTTCCTATGAAATTTCCTCATTTCCTTCCTCTTTTAGACTTCCCCTTGGGGCCTCACTTGCCTAACTCCACATCAGCCTCCTCTAATAGTGAAGTTGGCCTCCAGGTGGACCTGCTGAGTTCTGCGTGTAATAACCAGATATCTGCCCCCAAATAAGGGCAGAATGGGAGGTGACTTGGTTCAGAATGAAATGCAACTCTCCCCTGGTGCAGGAAGTTCTTAAGCTGCTTCCTGGAACAGGAAATGAGAGTTTCTTGTGATCCCTCCTGCAGTGGAAACAAAGCTGCCCTTCCTTTGTTGTCTCAACAGGTGAAAGGCATGAAAGTTGTTGGAGTTTGGCTGACTTGGCAAACTCAAACCATTATTAGTGTCTGAGCAGGTGGATGCAACGAGCAAAAAGCAAATGCAATAGGGTAGCAAAGAGGTTTTTATTTTTAAATAAAATGTTTTTAAAAGACAGAAAAAATGCTGGGCTTTCTCCAAGCCTGCTGGGTGGTGAGCAGTCAGGAGCAAGCACAGAGAAGCCAGAATCTGTCTCAGAGAAGCTCTAAGCTGGCAGTTTGAAGTGGGTGTGTGGATGGCTTATGAAATGGTGTCTCCTGGCCTGTATGGAAGCTTTTGCGCAGATTAGTACCTATAGCAGCCAGAAGAATTCTGTTTCCCCATGTGTGGCAGACATTGCTGCCTCAGTGCTGTTTGTATTACAGCTGTTTCTCACATGACTAAAATGCACCCCTGGCAGCCTGGGGACATGACTGCTTTGGCTTTGCATCTTTTTTTTTTTCTTTTCCTCCTCTGTTTTGTCTGTTACAGTGATGTCAATCTGGCATGTGGTGAGTTGGAGTCTTGGCTTTCTTCATTTGAATGAGTTAGAGGTACAGGACAAAGAAATCCTGTTTGGCCTCCAACTGGCTAGTAAAATACTGAACTGCAACTGCAACAGACTTTGCTGGGGTAGGAACACTGCTTTGAGGAGCTCTTGTCTCCATCACCAGTGCTATAAAGTTACATGAAGCCTGAACTTACCCCTGATGATGGAAATCCTGTTACAGTTGTGAATAAACTGTTGGAAGAGGCCCCTCCATCTGAAGACAGGCAGATTGGAAGCATCAGTGACTTCTACAGACACTTGTAGGTGTGTGCTTCTCTCTTCAGTTTCTCTGGGGCGAATGCTGCTGCTTTAGAAACACTGCATGCAACTGTTGGCATGCAGGTATTGAGAGCAGAGCACCCTAAAACTGAGGCATTGTTGGATCTTAGGCTAGTGGTTCCTCACTGCAGCCATAAGACTGCTTCCTTTCTTTTCCAGCAGTTCATATCTCACACTATTCTCTGTCCATTTCCAGAAAAAGAAAATATAGGTGTTTTCCAACAGTTCATGTGGTGCTTGGTCCTTGTTCTCTTTCAGCACTGCTCCACCCACAGGCTAGCTGAAAACAAAGACCTTCAGGATATGTTGCAGTTCACTAATATAGTGGATGGATGCTAACCATGGAATTTTGTTGCCTTCTCCTGAGGTTCCAGTAGCAGAAATAGGGTAGGCAGTAGCATTAGAAGGTAAGACCTCACCTCAGCACATCTGGAGCTGAAAATACTAACCTGGACACAGCTGTTCTGCTGATAGTACTTAGATGGATTTTAATCAGTTATGGGGTGGAATAACACAACCTTAGTCTTGGTTTGCTCCAGCATTTTGACACGTCCTGTTGCCTCTCCTTCCAGGAGAGCCTCACAATGAAGGACATCTGTCACTCAAAGAGCTGGCAGGTCTCTTTCAGTATCTTCCAGCAGAAGGGAGAACTCCAGTTCTACAGTTGAGCAGTATGGTGAGCACTTAGCTGTGTTAACAGAATGTGGGGTTTTGTCAGGAATCCAAAATGAGGTGAGCATGAAACAGTGTTGGGGTTGTAGAAAATTCTTGATGGCTTCCAAATGAGGCAGGCCAGAACTGGGGAGGCAGGTCCCACCTACTGAGACTCCTGGCAGCTGTCAAAGGCTGGAAGGAACCTGCAATTTTGGTTTGAGTTGTGAAAAATAGCACAGAAACCAGATTTAGCATTTGCTGTTGATGTTGCCTCTATTTATTTATTTTTTCCTATACTGTAGGCAGCCTGCAAAGGCCAGAGCCTTGGCCAGATCCTTTTGAGATGTTTCAAAAGTTATTGTTTGTATTTAGAGAGGCTGTGGATGTGGCTGGATTGATGAAAGGTCTGACAAACATCTTTTAGTGGATGTAAGCAAGGATGAGAGGAAAATGAGTCAGATCTCTGCATGAATTCCAAATGGCAAAAACCTTTGCTAAAAAAGCAAAGGGGGAGGGAAGCAGGGGAAGCAGTAACAAAGCAGACTGAGAGCAGCCTTTTGTACCTATGAAGTAGAGTAAGTGAGAAGAGTGCCATGTTTGCATTTCTTTAAATGGTTTTCTGTGAACAGCAATTTATCTGAACAGCAAGTCATCCATTAACAGATCGTGGTTTCTATAAACAAGTGTGATCAACACATGCTAGAAGTCTAAGAGAGGCTGTAGCAAGCAAGGGGTGAAGGTAGCTACTGGTGATGGTTAAGTTGCAGGAGCTGCTGCCTGTATGTGAATCAGGAACTCATTCTTGGGTGTCTGCCTTTGTAAATTGGTGTGACCTCTTTCATTTGTTTGCTTTATTAGCCCTCAGGTATTTGTGATGTTTTGCACTTTCTTGGCAGTTCATGTGAATGCAATTGATTTTTTTTTTCTTTCGGGGCAGAGCAGGTTTTCGCAAAGGTCTTTCTTGTGGTCTGTGCTGTTCACATGGTTATGAGTTGCTGTTTTGTCTTAATTTGATTCGAGAAGCTCCTTGCATGCTGCACTGTGGATTTTAGTTCTGTGTCTGTTCACCTCAGCTAGGTTCACAGGGCATTGGCCTGCTGTGCTGACCAAGGAGCTGTTTCCTCTGTCCTGAATGTTGTGGTGTTGCACAGACCAGGGTGCTGGGAGTAGGGCTGGTAAGCAGCCTGCACAGCATGGTCAGGGAAGGCTTTTGGATGTCTGCACCTTGGCTGAGTATATGAATTAAGCTGCATCTGGGTGTTCCCTGGTGTTATTTATGGCACGGTTGCCCGCTGCTCATGATGATGATGTTCTGAGGGCTGCAAGCCACTGATTAAACAGGACAGACGTAGACCTGTTGGAGTACATCCAGAGAAGGACCAAAAAAATGATCCACGGAATGGAACACGTCTCCTGTGAGGACAGGCTGAGCGAGATGGGGCTGTGCAGCATAGAAGGCTGTGAGGTGACCTGAGAGCAGCCCGTCAGCATCTGAAGGGAAGCGACAGGACAGAAGGGGACAGACTCTAGCAGGTCTGCGGTGGTGATACAACAGGAGGAAATGGCTTCAGGCTCTGGGAGGGTAGATTTAGGTTGGAAAGGAAAAATCCTTTATGGTGAGGCTGGTGAGGCAGTGAACAGATTACCTGGAGTGGTTGGTGCCCCGTCCCTGGAGACTTTAAACAGGAGGCTGGATGGGTTCCTGGGCAACACGATTGGTCTGCAGGTGTCTTGCAGCTTAACTCAAGCGCCTGTTAGGCCCGCAGCGGAGGAGGGCTGTTAGCTAAGCCTGGTGGCTCGCCGCGGTACCTGCACAGCCGCCTCTGCCGCATTTACAAACGCACGCTGGGGCAAACGGCCGCTCCTAAACACAGCCCACCGCCGTCCCGCCGCCACACTCCGTGCCGGCACACTGCGCATGCGCACAGCCCCCTGGACTACATTTCCCAGCATGCTCTGCGCTCAGCCTCTTCCCGCAAAGCGCGCCGTGCCCGGAAGGGGGCGCTGCGGAGGTCCCTCGCGCCGCTCCGTACAAAGCGGCGAGGGAGGGGGCGCTTCCTGTTTGTCTCGGGCCGAGCGGGGCAGCGGCCATGGCGGCGGTAGGCCCTGGGCCCGGCGGCTGCCGGCGGCGCGGAGCTCCCACCAACATCCTGGCGCAGCTCCGCCACGGGCAGCTCAGCGGCTGCGGGCTCACGCGGGGGGCGCAGGTACCGCCGGGAGGGCTGTGTGTGTGCGGGGGGGCGGGCTGCGCGACCGTGGGCCCCGTGGGGCGGGCGGAGCTGCGGGCCTGCACTGGGCCCGGTCCTTAGGCTGCGCTCCTGCGGCTGCTGGGCCGCTCGGGGATCGGCTTCGTACCGGGGCCGGGCCTTGGAGCGGGGGCAGCGGCAGGGGTAGGAGTAGGGCAGGCCGCCTGTGGGCTCCTCTTATCCCGTCCTTCGTCTAAATGGGGAAAGGCCGCAGAGCCGTGCTGGGTTCTGCGAGGAAGCTGATGATGGTGGGAAACGCTGAGGAATGGAAGCAGCTCCTCCACCCGGGCTGCTGCCTATCGTGTGTGTGTGTGCTGCTTTCTTAACGAGCCGCCCCGGGGTTCTGCGCTGCTCGTTTCTTGTTGCAAACAACAGTCGATGTTTCTTTTAAAGGTGCAAAGGTAGGAAACAGAAGCGTGGCGTAAAGAACTTGCTTTTCGGTGGTCTCTTTATTAAGCTAACAGTATCTTAAGTTTTCAAATGTGGTAAATATGGGATTTTAGTGGTTTTCATTAGTTCAGCCATTAGGGTGTTCTCCTTGATTAAGAAGGCTTCTGAGCAGTCCCTGGGAGGATACTTGCTCATCCAAATCAGCATCCATCCCCAATGCTGTCGATGAGGTAGGTGGAAGAGGCAGGAGGTGATTTTAAGCTGCTGCTCTGTCCTGGTTCTACTGCTGGCTTAGGTGCCAGTTTGGTTAATACTTGAGAAAAACCTCATTGCTTGGTTGGATTTAACCCTGTTACTCTCTATTTTACAGGCAGCTATTTCAGTGGGTTGTTTTAGGAGAGCGTTCTGCAGACACAGGCTGTGGTGGCTCACCAACCTGTGTCTCTGCCTCTGTGCTTTAGGCTCCCATAGCAATTTAAGCCAAATAACCCTTTAAGCAGGTTGTGCACCAACATGAAGTGCTGGGCTGCTGTGTCTGCTCTGGGCTTCGTTTAGCTTGAGAAGCACAGGGTTGTACCATGTTTTAATTTGGGGCTGTTAGCAGTTGTTTGAAATGACCACAAATGGCCAGACTTGGAGAAATCAAGGAGGCTTCTGCCAGCTACTTCTTCCTTCTCACAAGGTCCAAATTCAGGGTGAATTTTGTTGCTTTTTTGTTTGTTTTTCTTTATACGTTTCATTGTGTCTGTGCTGAGCTGAGAAATTTCAGGCTTGGGCCGTAGGGCTCCCAGTGCTTCACAAATGTGGTAGGAATGCATTTTTTTGAATTACTTAGACTGAGGGGAAGAAAAAAAAAAAAAAAAAAAAAAAAAAAAAACAAACTTCTTGAATGATTTTCAACTCTGAATTGTGCCTTTGTACTGTTACCTTGAAGCAAGTCTTTTGTTTGCAGATCTAAATTTAAAACGCTTCGACCTAACCTTTAAAGAAGCACAAGGCAGTTTGGGGTACTTTATGTCCTATTTTTGTCAGTGTTTATCAGACCATTTTCCTCTTTTGACTCTTCAGTAGCAGCGTGGAGCCCTTGAGTGGGGTTCTCAGCTCATTTGCTTTGAAAAGCCTGAGAGCAGAAGGCTTCTGAGCTGCTGTGTTTGGGTCTAGAAGAAAAGTCAGGACAGTGCCCTTACTGTTCTCTGCAGGGAAGCTGTTGCAGGCTGCTTGAGCTGCACATCTGGTGTCCTGTGGAGAAACTCTTTTCCAGCACTTACTTCAGAGAGATTGGGAAACGCCATTGCCTGTTGTGGTTCCTGCCATCCGAGCCCTGTTCTCCCACAAGATTGGTGCTGCTTCAGCATCTGGTCTCTGGGAAGCAATTAGTATTCTTCTGTAGGCAACAGCAGACTTGCTTTGTTTGTAATGAAGCTTTGAATACTGATTTTAGGTGATCTCAAAATCTTTTTGTATGAGGAAAGCAGGTGCTGGTTCTTGAGATGGTAAGGATAACATCGACGTGTGTCAAAGGAAATTCATCAGCCTGATCTTACAAGGACACGAAAATAATTTGGACAACAGCTACGTCAATATCTGGCAGCACTGAGGCCAGCTGAACTTCTGAACAACCTGGATCTTTGCCACGTGTTCCTGCTGCTCTCACCCACCAGAAGTCACCGTGTTCTTGGCAGCTGGCCTGTATGCATTATTGTTAAGATGTTAGATGAATGAAACAGGTTTTGGTAAACATTGCCATTATGTGTTCATATATCCTTTGTGGCCGTATTGCTAGCCTCAGTTGCTGCCCTGGATGTGAACACCAGCCTCTGTTTCAGATTGTATAACCTCATGTAAAGGTTTGCCCTGGTGCTGAGCACTGAGCAAGTGAAAGGGGCTTTTCAGGTGCCAGTAAACAAGAAGCAGACTGACTTTCCAGAAGTGACACACGTCTTATAAGGAAAATATTACTTGTGAACTGGCTGGCCTGTGGTGCCTGTCCTGACACAGCTGTGCTGTGCACAGAGGCACTGTAAATAACACATGGCAGGGTTTGTGTTGCAGTTCCATCAAGGCAAGGGAGTGTTTTGGTTCACCTGACCAGGCTCAAAGCAAAGCTTCGTCCCATCTGCAACAGGACAAACGCCTCATCTGCTGCAGGCAGGCTGTGAAAAGCGTGTCTGTAACATGAAAGCAGAAGATATTTACATGTACCAGTGTGAATCCTTGTAGAGAAGCAGTGTAATAATGGATTAGCCAGAGATTTGCTGGCAAATTAGCATGCTTGTGGTGCTGTCCCAAGAGCAGATCATCAGCACTGGTCTCACACTGTCAGGACTGCCAAGGCTTTGCTGAAACAATCAGAGTGGAAAAGAGTCCGTTTTTCCGGCTCTGTCTCACAGTCTGCTGTTCTGAGGTTCTGCTTAGCATTGTAGTCCATATCCACTTCGAACTATTTTGCTGTGAAAGGAAAACATTTCCTACCTTATCATGCAGATTTCCATTTCCTAGCATTATGAAATCTCTGAAAATATTTTGGTTTCCAACCAATTTTGTTTCCTCCCGACAACGACGACAAGTGGACGTTCACGTGAACATAATCCTCTCTAGCAGCTCTAATTGTATTGCTCTGAGCAGGCTTACACCTCTTCAGGAGAGCACAGCCAGCCAGTGCTGGACAGCTTGCACTGGCTTTTATGTAACAGGGAGCAGAGCTCTGTCATATGCTGGAGATGATGTTGAAAAGTGGCAACGTTAGTCTCTGGGAGTGTTATTTTGCTTGACTAAAAGTGAGTGGGAGGAAAACAGTTCCTTGCTCCTGCCTTTTCCTAGCTATCTTTGCATGTTGTTTGGATTAAGAAACTGGCAGTTCCAAGGCAAGAGCGATCACTGAGAAGTTAATATTTTACAATCTTATTGATTTATTTTTTCTCTGAGCATGAAATCATCAAATAAACACTGGTACCCTGTATTAGTTCTGAAGAGCTGCCGCTGCTGAGGATCTGCTTTGGAGTCGTTCTGCTCTCAGAGGCGGTTGTGGATTTTGGAGGTAGCTGAGGTGTGGCTCATAGAACAGCTCTTGCTGCAGACACAGAGTGGAGCACTGCTTTGGGCTTCACAGGGATGGCTGCACCAAGCCAGGAGCTGCAGCAGGGCCTGTCCTTGTCAGTGTGCCTCCAGGTTTGTCCCCTCTTTTGGGATGTCAGGAGGAGGGTGGCAGGCTGGGCTGGGCTTTGCAGGAGCCCTGGTGCTGGGAGGAATAATCCACACCTCGGGGCTGCGGGGAGGCTGGCAGTGGGGATTTCTGCCAGCTTCGTGCCACCTGCAGGGAGTTGCCTTTGCAAATAAAGCACCGGGGCCTCTGACACCTTCTTACCCACAGCTGTGTGCCAAAGACCCAACGGATGACTGGCAGCTGCAGGCTTCAGCGCTTTCTCCTAAAGCACTTCCCAGAATTGCTGCGCGGGCCTGAGGTTGTGTGTCTGCAGTGCTGCCTTGAGAAAACAAAGACAGGGCAGGGGTTAACCTGGTGGTTGGGTGTGCAAAGCAGCAGGAGGAAAGAAACAGATTGTGCAAAGGAGTGTTTGGTAGTGACTGGGAAGGAAAATGCAGTAAAGAGAAGAAATGACTGGACGGTCCCCAAAATTGTGAATAATCATTTTCCTGGCTGTGTGTCAGAAACAACTTCCTAAGTTAGTACTGCGGGGAGGAAAATTAAATATTTAATTGCACAAATATTAGTTTCCTGTTTCATAAAGATGCAGCCTAAAAGGCTCGGCGGATGGGATATGGAAAGGATTTGGTTTCCTTCTAAATACGCAGAGGCCATGTGCTTGTGTCTGTTCTGTGAGATCCCTAACATTTGCCCATTTTATTTCTCTTACACTTTCTGAACATGGGATTTACACAAAGAATTGAGACAAATACTGGGAATGGAAATTCTGCTTTTTTAGAGACTTCCAATCTTAGCTTAATCCACAGTTGCAACGGCCTAAAAAGGAACTAAAAAAACCCCAAATAATAAAATCTGTCACAGAACGAGTCCTTTAGTGGTGAGAAGGATGCCTGGACCCCTGAGTTCACTGTTTTTGCCTTTTCAGATAGCAGCCTCATAGAAAGCACTTTCCTGTAATGACTGCTGAGTAAGACTGAAACATTTGAAGTGTAAAATGGGAAAGCATACAGAGGCTTCGAAGCAGTCATCACTGCAAGAAGCTTTAGACAGGTAACAGGTGTTGCAGCACATGGTGCAGCTCTGACTGTGTGCACTGGCACAGAGCAGCAGGGACTGTGCCTGGAGCTCTGCAGTCCTGCATGGACACGGCAGCAGCAGGTGCTGGGGAGAAGGGAAAGGGGAGCTAAGCTGATAGGGTGTGCATTCAGGGAGATAGGAGCACAGGGCTGCTTATGGTGTGGTGAAAGAGTGGGGATTTGCTAGTAGTTGTTGAATGTTAGAAATTGCTAATGGATGCCATGAAGAAATCCAAAAGGATTTCTAACAGGAAGAAGGAGAAAAAGTATCTAGATTTGTTTGCATTCTCTTTGACTTTGTGTATAATTCTTCCTGCATATAACTGTATAATGGGAGGGTATTCCTACTGTAGTGGGCTGCAGTCCTCTGGAAGAGGCTGAAGCGAAGTGCTGTGCATACCCTGCCTTGTGGTGCTGGAGGGGCTCGATGCTGTGTTTCAGCTCGGTGCCTAAATCCTCCTGAATGTCTGTGAACCAGGCTGCCACAGCTTGGCAGGTTCAGATAAGGTCTAACCTCACAGCCTTCCTTTGGGGTCCCTCAGGTATGCTCTGCAGCTGTCCAGCAAGTGAAGAAGAGTTGTGAAGAGTCCGTGTTTGGTTGGGTTTATCCTGCTTAGGTGAGACCAAAAATGTGTTGGAGAGGGAATGGGGCCCCACTAATTCTGATGGCTGCTCACTGATGTCTACCCAGAGACAGCGAGGAGAAAACCAACTTCACTTACAAGGGAAAACTGGTGACTTGCTGCTGTTACAGAAATCATGAGGCACACGTCTTAACCAAAATGGTTCCAAAGGAAGACAATTCCATACAACTTAACTGAGTTTGAATCCATCCACAGAATCCAAAATCTTCATGTTGGCAAATACAGCCCCACCACAATGGAAATACTCAGAGCCAGGGCAGCCTCGTAACTGTAAAATGGGGACCACAAGCTGGAGTTTGCAGTGAAACCAAGGATGGGTTTTAAATCAGGAGAAGAAAAAATTGCTCTTGGAAAGCAGTTAAAAGAAGATGAGAACAAGGAAACATTTACTACAGCCTTTCAGAATTTCAAGTCTGGAAGTTTTCTGCGGATTAGCACAAATACATCAGCTGGGGAGAGGAAGAGCTGCTAGTACAGAAATGAGAGTGGAGATCCTGCCCCAAACTGAGAAGCATGTGTGTGGTTAGCAAACGCAGCACTGAGCCCAGGACTGGGCTTTATTAGTGCTGAAGCCTTTTGGCCACTCTGAGGGCTGGATGCCGTGTGCTGTGCTACACCCTGGAACCTCGTGCTGCAGCCCCTGTCCCTCAGTGTTGCCTGCAGTATCTTCTCCATCAGCTGGGCTGGATAGCTGGAGCCTTTCCCTGTGTTCTTTGCGCTTCACCCAGCAATTAATCTGGTTCCTCCTGCAGCTCGGTGCTGTGTGCTCCTCCCACGCCAAGATGGGGCAGTGGCAGAGCTCCCTGTGCCCTGGATGCTCAGGGGGAGGGATGGGGATCTGTGGCTTCAAAGGAGCTGACCCATTATTCACAGCCTAAGTGACGCAAAGCCATTTTGAGTTTCTGGTTTTGCCCTGCCGTTTCTTGTAGGAACAGCCTCCATGGAAGGAGCTCTGCGTCATTCCCCAGCAATGCTGGTTGATGACTCTTACTCCAAGTTGGAAATATGAGAAAAGTTGAAAACTGAAGAGAGCAGTGTTACGGGCCAGGCTTGCTCACACTGCTTTGATCACTCCTTGTAACAAGAAAAACAGACCCTTAAGAGCCTTGAGGTTCTTTAAGTACCAATCTGAGTATTAGATTGAAGGCAAAACAAAGAAACCCTGTATATCTGGGAAGGTAAGAAGGGGGGGGGACTCGCAGATGCTGCCAGTTTGAGTTCATCATGACAAATTTCTGACATTGTATGCTGTCTTACACAGAGAAAAAAGAGTTAAATTCTCAGAAATAGGAGTATATTTGCATATAATTGTGTCTAATCAGGAACTGAACAGCCCTTTGGAATTGTTCTGAGGTATAGCTGAGAAGGATGCCTGGGCTGAAACAATAAGGAAGGAGATTTCCTGGCTGCAGCTCGGAACAATGAGCATGGAAGGAAGCGTGGAGTTAACCAGGGATCAAGGAGTGACTGCACAGAGCAAGGGCAGCTTCAAGTGTGGGTCTGGTAAGGGAAAGTGCACTTGCATTGCACTGGAATATGGTCCTGCTCTCCCTGGGGATTGGTGTGTAAAACATTTTGCCAGAAATCTTGCTGATTGGACATCTTGTCATTGTTGGCCATAACTGTACAAAAGTCAGTCCTCACTGCAGGTTTGTTAGGAACCTCTGGTGAAGCACCTTTAAGGAGTGGGGCTACATTTTGGCTAGCATTAACTGCACTGGGGACTTCACAGAGGAGTTCCTCCTATAGAGCATCTGCTGGATCACCCTGGAAGCCTTCCTGCTTTGCAGCACTTGCTGCAGCTTCTTTGAGTGGAATGTTCATCAGCATTGTGTAAAGCACTGTGATAAATATTGAGGATTTTTGTATGTTTTGAGAAGGAGGAAAACTGGAGTTGTTGGCAAAAATGTAGCAGCAAATGCTGAGGTGTTCTTGGTAATTGCAGCTTTCTTCCTGAGTGATAACACAGTGCTGTTCCCCTGCTGGTGGAGATGCTGGTTGCCATTTATGACCAGCCCAGGACTGGAGGAGGAATTCTTACTGTGGTGTAGATACGTTCCTCAGGAGCATGCTTGTCAGTCCTTTTGGTTTGGGTAATTGCTATGGCCAGTAATGGCTTTAGGGACTTGGCTGAGGAGGTACTCATTACACACTGAATGGGAAAAGGAATGGAGTCTGTCTTCATTGCATGCTCTCTACTTCAGTCTCATATCAGTTTTGATAGTGTCAGGGTCACCAATTTCCTCCTTCAGTGGTTTGTCAGTCAGAGGTCTGCTTGTGGAACTGGATGAATGTGATCCCTCTGAAAAACGTGATCGATATAGAACTATGGGATGGGAGTAAGTATTCAAAATGATAACATCTGCTTTCAGGCCTGTCCTTCAGATACCTTAACCATCCGCACAGTTCTGCTAGCCCTGCATAAATCCCTGCTTGGAGACAGGGGCTGCGTTTTGCTGCGGTACTGCCTACAGCACACACTTCTGTGATGTTCCTGTTTTGTTATTGTGGATTGTTTTCCTGAGTGTTACACGTTGGACACGTGGGAATTACATTCTTCCTTTGTTGCAGATCACAGAGGCCTTGTTGAAGGAAAGAGATAAACAAGCAAAGTGGAATGGGATTCCCCTGCTGTTACAAAAGCTATATGAGCACAGCCACCCAAACAGCGACTTCTCCCAGTGCCAAAGCATCTTAAAGGTAGTGCCTTCCTCTGTGTTCTTCTGGAATCCACGTGCTGTTTTGTTGTTACTTTCTTTAAAGGCTAACTTTAAATATGCTTACCAACTGTGATTTTTGGAACTGTTTCTCTGATTGTACCTGTGGATTGAATGTAGATAAGAGCTAGGAATGCATGTAATTGATGAGCCAGTAGATCCATGGATGCTCTGTGGAAGTTGTGTATATGCAAGTGAATAATTTTCTTTATAAATCACCTTTTTTTTTTTTTTTTTTTCTTGCATGCAGGAAATTTCTCCACTTCTTTCAATGGAAGCCATGGCATTCGTGACAGAAGATAGAAAAGCTGCTCAAGAGTCCACTTTCCCCAATACGTACACGTTTGACTTGTTTGGAGGAGTTGATGTAAGCATGGTTTATTTGGTTTGTTTTGCTGTGTTTTTTGGTTGTTTTTCCAAGGATTTCTGCAAAACAGTTGCACCATTGGTATGTCCATAAATGGGATCTTTGAGACTCTTCTAAATGCAATCTGCAGAATGATTTTACTGTGCTGATGTTAACCATTACAATTGTGGCTGTTCTGCCCTGTGCTGGTGAGGCCCCACCTGCAGTGACCAGGTACTGTGACCAGACATGGAGGGTCCTCAGTGCAGGAGAGACACTTTTCATGTTACATGAAAGACTGGAATCTCTCTGGATTCTTACCTTCAGGTAGCTCAATGAGCTACGAGACCTCTAGAATATTAAGAAATGGTTTCAAATGATTTCTAGCTGTAAGATTAAGCACTACAGTACTCTCAGTACCACTGAGAATTTCATTTACCACTGAAGGATGTGTGTGAAGACTTATTAAGCACACTGTGTGCTGTGTTAGCAAGATGGTCTGTGTTTACTGTTGGCATGTAATGCACACCGTTTCATCTATGGGAGGAAAAAAAACCAAACTAGGGGCTGATAGGTTTATGTGTGATGTTTGGACAATTCATCTTTTATTCTGTTCGTTGCAGTTTGGTGTTACACAGATACCTGAGTCTACTCCAGTTCACAATCATCAGCCACTGTGATCTTAGCTTTCCTTAGAAATGTCTGGCTTGTGTTTTCCAGTGGACTGGCTTTTTGGTTTTTGCAGTCTCTTTGCTGATTCACTCTCATTGCAACACTGTGCCTTTGTTTCCAGAACAATCCATCCTAAATAGATGTTTTTGAAACAACACTGGCTTACTTGCTAATATCTTGTCAACTGAGGACAAAGTTCTTCAGCTACCCAATAAATTTGGAGCATGATATGAAACTGCTTAAAACGATACTTTTTGTTTTTGAAACAGAAGCAGTGGTGCCTCCTGTTGAAGTGCTTTTGCTACAAGAATGCAAAGCACTTTTATTTTAATACTTAAATATTGGAAAATTGCTAAAGGTTCGTTATTTTGGGGGATGTGTGATTTCCCTCCTTCATGTTACCTGGTATGTGAGATTACTTTCTTTGTAGATTCACATTCTTAATAGTTTGCCATAGGAAAACTATTTTATATAACTGTTATTCTTTCTTCAGGGTGAACACAGCTATTTCTGTTAATTTTGACACCAGTGGTTTTTTTTTTTTACTCTGGACACTGAATCTTAGTGATTTCAGCAGAGGTGGGACTAAGTTTGGGTTTGTCACCGACAAATTAATTGCTCATTTGTGTTCCAGTTATTATTCCCTTTATTCTGTGTCTGTTGTCATTTCAGCTTTTAGTAGAAATTCTCATGAGACCAACTCTTATGACACAGAAAAAGAAACAAAAAAGTAAGTAAATAGTTGTGCTGCCTCTTCCTTCGTTGTTGCTGTGCCCCTTTTTGAGACATGAGCTGTTCCAGCTTTCTGTTGCTCTTTTCTCCGTGCCGGGGATTTCCTGCTCTAAAGTGAATCACTGGTTTCTTTATTTTCTGTAGAGCTGATTCATGCTGGGGTTTAGGATACTCATCTGCTGCAAAGTGAAGCTCACGAGTATTCATGTTATCAGCATAACTTTTCTCAGTGCAGGAAATCTGCAACCACTGGAAACTTTTCCTCTTACTGTGGCTGTTAGCTGGCTGCTGTTAACGATTATTAACAATAACCCAGTAACATTATTTATGTAATGGGATTGTATGGATTGTAAGCTAATGAAAGGTATGCTGCTTTCCTAACCTAGACACAGTGACTAGTAATTTCCAAAATGTTGTAAAGAGCGTTTGTTAACGAGGAGCAGTGGCTGCAGGGCAGCTTTCCTGCTGGAGCAGCTTGAGTTTAGTGTTTTCATTTATGTTGTCTGTGATTCTGTTGGTTCCACGCAACCCTTCTGAGGAAATGTCAAGCTGTGTGCCGTGCCCATCAGCCAGAGAACTTCAAAGGTGAAATGACTTGAGCTTGAGGCAGCTCCTGTACATCTGAAATACATCTTAAATACTGAAATGCTGGAAGAAATAAGATTGAAAGTTTTTCTAACAATTCCTGATGCTGTATGAAGAAAACCACGTGAAGAGGCACTTTTTTTTCCATCTTTAATAACTGGAATTAAAGGTCTGTCAGCAGTTTTTCAGCTGACAGACTTAATTTCTGATTTCCATTTCCCCTTTTGAAATCTTGCTTACTCTCTATCCTTTACTTCTGCGTGTGACTAAGCTGTGCACTAGAGCTCAGGTACATCTTATTGTCTGCAGTCCAAGGCAGAGGTGAGTAGTAGTTGTGGAAGAAAGCAAGCAAACAGGGTAGGTAGTGATTCTTCCTCTTTTTTCTTCTCCAAGCATTTGCAGGTATGATGTAAGCCAGCACTTAGCTTGAAATTCTTGGTCTTTTCAATGGTGTTCTATCACTGCTTTGGATGCTAGTGTTCTTTGTCAGCTTACAGCTCACAAATGTGTTTTCTCTTTTGCAGTAAGTGATGACCTCATCAAGGACTGTTTAAGCATACTGTACAACACGTGTATATGTGTAAGTAATTGCTGTGAAAGTGTTCTAGCCTGAGCAGTGCACAGGTTGTGTTTTATATGATGTGATTGTTTTATACTTGATGAGATAACAGACCCTTTTAGGCTTAATTTCAACTTACTCTGAAGCTTTTCATTACAGTTCCTTTAGATACACAGCCACCCTGTATTGTGGATTATTATTCAAATATTTTGCTTTCTTAGGCACATTGTCACTTGTTTAGGTCTTTGAGTATCCGTGTTGCCATCAGACAGCTGTGTCAAGCTCTCTAATGTCATGCATTCAAGCTTAAAATTTGAAACTGGGGATGGATGCCCACAGTGTAAGCCAGGCTGTGTTGCATCTTGTTCAGTAACACTACTGACAAACACTTCAGGTCCAATTGTGCAAATTCTTCATATCCTAAATGTCAGCTCAGTTGCCAGTGGATGGCAGATCAGTGCCAGCTATAGAAGGGCATGCCTCTCATTATGTTGACAGGAAATATCCTCAGCATTGTTTACTTAATCACACAGTTCATTATGCCATAACCTAGGGAGCATTGTTTAATGAAAAAAGCCAAACAAACCACGAACGTGGTTACTGGGCTGGAGCTCTTCCAAAGACAGCAGCTTTATCTCCAGAGTTGGAGTACTCTGTATCTGAGTACAGAAAGGAGAACAGAGGGAATGACACTTCACTTGACTCACACTAGTTTTATTTTTCTGAAAGCAAAGCTAATGCAACTTTTGCAAACTGAGCAGTTTGAGAGCACGAAAACTAACTGTAATGAAGTGTGTGGGGACCCCAGAAGTTATTCTTTAGCATGCTTTAGTGTGACTGTTCTGTTCTTTGCTAGGTTTGTTATGGCTGACATTGGATTCTGGTTGCTCAAGCTCTGAAAGCAATGCTGACAGTTTAGGAGGAATTTGAGGGCTGAATTTTGCACACTGTAAAATGGAGCTGACAATAATTTGTATGGGAAAATAGAGGCGAGCCTCTCTGATGTGTTTCCAAGCATGCAGTGTTTACTCTTGGCTTAAGCAAGTAAACAACTCTGTTTTGAGATGAAGCCTCCCATCCTGCAGTCTGTAGTTTTTGAACAGCCCATTTTAACTTCAAACAAGGGTTGGAATTGCTTTTGGTCACCATAAACACAGTGCTTTCTGGTCTCAGAAGCAGCTGATTTTGTAACACAGCCTCTGAGAAACTGTTCTGTACGTGCCTGTGCCACATGTGACTCAGCAAGGTGGGTTCTGACTCGGGGTCTGTTGGTGCTTCTCCTTTTTAGACGGAGGGAGTCACGAGGCGACTGGCAGAAAGAAACGACTTTGTGCTCTTCCTGTTTACACTGATGACAAACAAAAAGACATTCCTACAAACTGCAACGCTCATTGAGGATATCTTGGGAGTAAAAAAGGTTTGTTGCTGGTTTCTTATACTTGTGTGGCTTTTCAGGCCAGTGGGGAAACACAGCAGTTTCTTTGAAAACAGCACTCTAAGATAGCAAGCATTCTTGCTTCTTGTAGCTTGTTTGAAGCATGGCTGTTTACACCAACATTGTCTTTAATTGCAATTCAGACAGAAGCCAAATTATGTATGTGGCTACTTGTAATGGCTTTGCATGACTTGCACAGGATGATAGTCCTTTCCTTCTAATTACACATTGATTATTTCTGCTAACATCTGGAAGACTTCTTGTGCTTCTCTCTTACCATGGTTTTTGTCATGTCTCTGAGATTACCTGAGATTGTTTGCTGCAGGCTGGGGGAATGGTGAGGAAGTGGGGGAAGGCAGTGAGATCTTGTGCATGAAATAGGTTTTTGAGCCTGCACTGAAATACTTGCTGATGTCATTGCAACTTAGTGCCTTGATGTGGTGCAAATAAAACATCTGGAGTGTAACCCTGAGGAAATGTGCCTTGTGTGTTAATGTGGAGAGGGTCAGGGCCTTGTAGCTGTTGCTGGTTTTGCTTTTTGTCTTCTGACTGAAGTTGAGGATATTGTACTTCCCTAGGAAGGAAACTATCTTAGTTCATCCGAACGTAAAAGTTTATGCTGAAAATGGTTTCAACATCATTTCTTTATCTTTTCATGAAGGAGACGGGGGGAAAAGCAAACTAGGAGTCAGTTGTCATCTGTGAGCCTTCAAGAGACTGCAGGTAGAAGCAGAGAACAAATTTGAAACTTAATTTGTGAATGCCAGTGGTTTATTAAGCAATTTTGAAGACGACGACGCAATTCAATGTAGATGCATAAAGAATGGGTTCTTTGAAGACTTTAAGGATGCATTTGTATCCTTCTGGAGTTGATAAACATAAGTGATGCCTGTTGCAGATGCACAGCTGTTTTCAAACTCTTCACTTGTCATTGCCTATTTGCTTCTCCTTTACTAACATTGAGATGCACAAATCCCACCAGGGAGGAGCTGCAGATGAAACTTTCAGGCCACGCCATGTGTTCCCTTATTGAATACCATGTGTGATTTGCTCAGCAGATTGTTGTCTCTTCCAGGAAATGATACAACTGGATGATATTCCCAATCTTGCAAACCTTGTGTCCAGTTTTGATCAGCAACAGCTTGCAAACTTCTGCAGGATCCTCGCAGTCACAATTTCTGAACTCGATACAGGCAGTGATGACAAGCACACACTTCTTGCAAAAAATGCCCAGCAGAAAAAAAACTTGGGTCCTTCTCGAGCTGAAGTTAATCAAGGTAATTGTTATGCTGTGAACAGATGCAGAAAAATGATAGCCATTTAAAATTTAGCTCTTCTCCATGTCAGATCTGAGATCTTTTTAGCAGATGCTGAGAGTGATGCATCTTAAAAAGCATTTGTCTTTATTTCCTTTCTTCGAACAGTCTCCTAGAAATGGTCTTTGCAGTTAATGAAAGTTGGTAGCTTTCACTTTTGTATGTGATCAGTAATCAGATCAGTTGAGTTCTGTCATTTTAGCCCTCTTTGATCAACTGAATTGGCTTAAGATAATTGGATTTGTTTTCTGTTGCTTGGTTGTTTCTGTGGCCTTTCCTTTAGCATCTCATTAATTTCATGTCCTCCTTAATTCTTGAACTGAAGCTCTTCAGGCTTTGCTGCTTTCAGAGCAGTCCCTTCTCTGATTTTTCTCTGGCACTGTCATGAGCAGGATGTCTGCCTTTATCAACAAGGAAAGTATGTTTGATGTTAGTCACATTGTCTACAGTTACAACACCAGCCCTGGAGATCTGTGGCTGTAATCTGAACTTAAAGCTGGGACGCAGCGCCCATTTTCTCATTTTACTGGGTAGAGATGCAGAAGCCTTGCTTGGAGGCACAAGTCCTGAATTCGTACTCAGCCTTTCACGCAAGATATTTGAATTAAAATACCCTCAAAGATGGAATCTGCTGTTTTCAGCTATTCGTATACTGAAGAGCTTTTGAGCTTCCGAAGCAGGCATTTCCATAGGCTTATGTCAGGCCAGCTCAGGACTCAAAAAAGAGGGGAGCTTGGAGCTGTTTCTCTGATCTGTATATCTGTATTCCACATTAGCCATCAGTGATAGAGCTCTGTTTGTAACCACTGCCTGATCTGGAGCACAGAGTGAGAGATGGAGGGCATAATATGGCAGGCAGAAGCTGAGAAGCTTTAGAGGAGGGTATTGTCTTCTGCCCTGTGATCACCAGAGCTTGCTTGTAAACAACAGTGGACGTATGTTGGTGTGGGTGCAAAGATTAATTTAAATTATTTAAACAATAAGCTTGGATCCTGCAGAGCTGAGTTTACCCAAGCAAATGTTTAACTAACCATTTCTTGTTTGCACAGTCACATCTGTGCCTAAGATTACAAAGCATATGTAATTTTAAAACTTTCATCAGGGAGTTTATTCCTTTCAAGATGGTAGCAGTGGGCAGAATCACAGCTCTTAGCATAGTGTTGATGGCTAAATCTTTGTGTTTTATGCTTTATCTGCAAATGCAAAGACTTAGACATATGTCTGTAATGAACAGGTCCTGCAGTTATGATTCTTTGAAAACAGTGGGACAAAATGTGCCTGCTAACACCTTCCAAGCCCTTCCCCAGAGATTTTACAGATCAGTGACTTCTGGCCTTGGACTCATTGCTCTTTCTAAGAGTGCAGTTCTACAGTGATTATAATCCTCCAACTTGGGGCAGATGTTGTGTGCTCCCCTCCCATTCTGCTCTGTGCTGAACCAGCTCAGGAAACTAACACATAAAAAACAAAGCCTTTTCCAACCAGCTACAGAACTCAGTTGGCTCAGTTTGCTCTGAGGCAAAAGACTGCAGGAGGTAGAATGTTGGAGGTGGCATTGTGCAGAAGAATGGGGAGGCAGAGCTGGCCCTTGCAAGGGCTGCTGCTTTATTTCTTTCTGCTTATTTTTCAGCCAGGTTAATTTCTTGATACTGTCTCTCTATGGGCTGGAAAGCAGCAGTGCTGGCAAAAGTGAATTGACCAGGAAGAAACAGTCAGAGTAGGGTAGAGCTATTTTTTATCCACTGTAAGTCTTACATAAACCAGGTCAGTGCTGAATTATGCCTAGGGTTTGAATGCTGTCTTCCAGTTCTTAACAGGAGAGTGCAATCAGTCTTCGATCTTTGGATCTTTTCAACTAGGTGAGATATGTTTCTCTGTACTCCTCCATATTACTAATGCAGATGTTTTGGTACTTGGTGGTAGCTTGACAGCTGTTGTATTGCTGATCTTGAATCACCACAAAGCAATTTTTCTTTTCCAGCTACACTTCTGAATATACCAGGTTTCATTGAACGATTATGCAAACTGGCAACACGGAAGGTATCTGAAACAACAGGCACCTCCAGCTTCCTGCAGGAGCTAGAAGAGTGGTACACCTGGCTGGACAATGCCCTCGTCCTTGATGCATTGATGAGAGTGGCAAATGAAGAGGCAGAGCAGAGCAGTACAGGTATCTGGCCTGCATTCCTCCAGCCACCACTAGCTAATGCGTATTTTGTCATCTTCAGTGTTTGTCATCTGGTGCCTTTCCTTTCAAATAGTACCAATTCTGTTCTTCTTGCATGAAATACTGAAATATCAGCATTTAGGTCTGACTCCTGTTTTGTTCTCGGGTAGCACTGATTTAGTATTCATGAGCTCAAGTTAGTGAAAGGGAAAAAAAATGCTCCTTTTCACACAGTTTATTTGTAATCCTATACACTCTCATAACTCATCTCCCTCAAGAACGTGTCTGATAAGTGGGGTAAGTGACTTTACCAGGGTTTGCTCTAAAACTTATCCAAATGGAATTGATTCCATACGCTTCACAGGAAGCAGACAAGCCCCTCTTTCAGAAGGAGGGGTAGTTCCAGCAAGATGGGGTTGTTGGTGGGGGAGCTTCTTCCAGGGGACTGTTCAGAAGTGTCAATGCAACCTTAAGAGAAAGCTATGAAATGAGGGCCTGGTTTGTTTTTTCAGTGTTACAAAAATGCAAGGTATGTCTTATTTAACTCAGAGCACTAAATAACGAGATTAGAGTTATTTCCAGTTTTTGGTATCTAAATATTTGCCTTTGTGCTTAGGAAGCTTAGCCTTAGAGGCTTTTGCCACAACCCAGCTTTGTTAATTTTGTCGAAATTATTAACAGTCCTGAGAAATGCACAAGAGAAGGATGCAAATGTTCCAACAGCATCTTGTACATACCTTCATGCACACCTTTGGTGCAAACTGGGACTGCTCTGTAGCCTGAAATGAGATTCAGGGAGTGATTTTGCTGAGGTATGCATAAAGGTGCTCAGCTGCAGCTCTTGACCCACAGCATCAGTTAGCAGGCAAAGCTAGACGTACTTTCCCAGAATACTGGCTCAGTCTTCACTGATTGTGGCTTAGGGATGTATGAGTCAAAGGTGCTGTCTGTGCTTTTTAGCCTTTGATGCTTTCCTTCTTCCATGTTCTTGTCTGCTGAATGTTTCTTCACATGGCTTCAAAAAGCACTCGCGCTGTCCTCTAGCAGGCTGGTTTGCAGCTTAGTTATGAATGTTATGAAGGCCTCATTCCTTTTTAACTGCAGTCTGCAGGATTCACTGTCCTTGTTTACTTCATCTGTGTCACTCGCAGCTTCTGTGTTTTCCACTTGAAATTGTGGCATCCAGTTTCTGCTTTTAGCAGTATAGCAGGACATGAAAATGGCTTAACTGTGTCCTCAGTATATAATGGTATTGAGGTACAAAATGCAAGTAGATTAATGGTAAATGTTACTGATGCTCTCGCCCCTATTTTCATTACCTTTTCTTTCATGTTCTTTCTGATTCAGTGGTATACTAACTCATATTAGTTGACCTTGCTTATTTTAATGTATATGATGTCATTTAGCTTATGAAAAAATGAGATTTTAAGAAGGCAGACTTTCATCTCTTCTAAAATTTCAGCTGTACTTTTTCTCCTTCCCTTGCGTTCAGATTGGCTCTGTTGTATGCCACTGCTTGTAGTTGAGAAGAGGATTCATGCAGGCGCGCTGGTCTTACATCTGTGTTTGAGTGTAAAAGCAGTAACTGTAACAAATCCTTTCCTGTTGAAACTGCCTCAGGCTCACATCTTTGCCATCTTCTTCAGAGTCTTCTGATGAAAGTGGTTTGGCCAACACCTCGACACGGACGCAGCTTCCACAGTCCATGAAGATCATGCACGAGATCATGTATAAACTGGAGGTGTTGTATGTTCTCTGTGTGCTGCTCATGGGGAGACAAAGGAATCAGGTGAGTATTTGTGGATGGTTACATGCAGAAGTTGATATCCCTTCAGACTGAAGCACTCATAAATTAGGTCATGGACACAGAAACATGAAGGGACACTCAAGGTATAAAGCTGAGATGATGTACTTCAGTTTTGTCAGCTCTAGGTGCTTCACAGCAGTCCTGTTCATATGTTCCATTTGCATTTCTTGCATTTGAAATGAAAAATAGGGAACAAATTACTTATCCTATGTAACTTCTGGAGAACCTATCACCACAGCATGGCTGTAGTTGGGTTTTAAACATGTTGAAAGCATACTGAGGAGGGGAAAGAGGAAGCAATCTGTTGGTGCAGGTTTCACAGATTTCCAGTACTGACAACCTCCTCATCTTAGCTGGGCAGCTTGGAATAGCAGGGTATTGGGATGCCCTGAAAACTGGGAGAATCCAGGGGTTTTTTTGTGTCCTTGAAGGGCTGTAGTATTCAGCAAGAGCTAGCTGTGCTGGGGGCTGTTGCTTGAGCACATTTATCATGTGCAGTTTGTTCTTTGCCAGTAACCTCCTACCCTGTAGGAGTCATAAATACTTGTCATAGACAATCCTTTAAACATATTAATTTGAATTTAAAGTAGAAGTGTATTTGTAGAACAGTTCTGCAAAATGTTCACTGTGTCCCTACAAAGGGATGCTCTGTGTTAGAAAGAAATTCTATATAATAATAACCAGAGGAAGCATGCTGCTGCAGTAGTTAGCTTTGAAGCTGACTCTGGTTTTTATTTGCCAGAAAAACCTCTTACTCTTCCTCTGCCCTCATTGGAAGTCTTGGGATAAAACTGGCTTGTGGTTTCTTTTTCTCAGGAGATTGTTCAGGGCTGGATTTGAATTGTTGCATGTCTTGCATGTTCCTATTGTGACAAGCAATCAGCTCTTACACTTCTGCTACAGAGAGCCAAACTGCGTGCAGCAGAAACTCCAAACAGTTTTAGTGGTGAGAAAGCAGCAGAGCAGTTTGTGTGAGGCTGGGCGGCGCCGGGGAAAGTCAAAGGAGTTTGAAGGATGAGTGTAGAACAAGGATTGTCTTGGCATCTGTGGATTGAGCAGTTGCAGTGAGTTTGGTTCTGAGGGGCAGTGGCTGTCATTTGGGAGCTTCGTCCTGCTGAGGTCTGTCAGGGAAAAGGTCAGCAAACTGAAAGTAAACCAAATGCATTTCAAATGAGGAAGGTGTCGCTTGGGATGAGCAGTTATGCTGGCGTGGAAAGGAGCAGGTTCCTGAGCTGAAGCACAGAAGCTCCTCCCACAGCTGGGCCCAGGCTCTTGCAGGCAGCTCCCACGCTTGCGCTCACCCTGTTGTATCTGTGCTGTGCTGGCTCCCAAAAGACAGGCTGCAGGGAATGCTTTGTCCAGATTCCTCAGAGCTGCTTCTGCTGGGTGCTTGTGACTTGGTCAAGGTATTTGAAAATGCCCTCGGGTAAGGGAGCACAGAGGGACTCTGAGCCTTGCAGTCTGTTGGGGTGGTTTGGGTGAGGTGGGAAGGAGCTGCATGCTTCCTGTGAGGTGATGCAGAGGTTCCCAGAAGTGGGAATGCAATTTCCAGGTCGATGGAAGAGTCTGTGGCTCCAGCCAAAAGGAATGCAGAAAGCCCATTAGCTGTGCTGCTGACAAGAACACCTGTAAAACAGCACTGGCTTTAATGCTATTTGAGGAAGTAAAGCTGGAATGATCTGCTTAAGTACTGCTAGTTACAATCCCTATCACAGGCACAATCTGACTTAATGTTCAGGTAGCTGCACAGGTCTTTGCTGTGTGGAGCACTTAATTCGTACAGCTTGTTGGGCTTCGCTGTCCTGAGTGATTCCCTTTTGCAACAGGAATCAAGGGATACTGCTTGTCGTAGGCCTGCAGCTGCTGAGGATCTCTCCTTGTATTTCTCCTCCTCATCATTGTCCAGGTTGCTTACATCAAAAAGTATCAGAGCTTGGACTGTAGTTATTTAGCAGCTGTTCACACCGCAGTTACTGGTTTACATGAGTAACTGCAGTTTGTTTCAGACAGTGGGTGTGGGACACCATGGTGTGTCCTGCAGTGTGACCGTATGGAAAGCTGCCCACTGCTCTGCAGATTGTGTGAGCAAAATCTGTATCCATACTTCCTGTTGTCTTCAGAGGGCAGCCTCAGCTCCAGCTGTGTGAACTAGAAAGGCAGAGGATGCTCAGAGGGGGACTGGCAGCAGAATGTATGCAGCTTAGTGTTGTGACACAGAAGTCATATATGGACGTATTTTCAGTGGGTTGCAAGCAATCTCCCAGTGTCCAAACAGTGATTAATTCAAATCCCTGCTTTTTCCCAAAGTGTGTTCTGCCTGTGCCCACCAGACAGCACACCATGATGAATATCTGTGTTACTGCACACACATGCTGTTTGGCAAAGCATTTCCTTCTTCTCTTGTCAGTATGATGTGTTTTCTGTGCTGTGTTGTATCTGTATATGAGGTGAATCCTTCCTTCTCTTCTTTTCCAGGTTCACAAAATGATAGCAGAGTTCAAACTTATTCCTGGCCTCAATAATTTGTTTGACAAACTGATTTGGAGGAAACATTCAGCATCTGCTCTTGTTCTGCATGGACACAATCAAAATTGTGACTGTAGCCCAGTGAGTAACTTTTTAAGTTCTGTGCAGATTTTGATGTTATTTATCATAAAGTTCTGAGACATTGTATTGAGTAAAGCAATGCCTGTGTAATAAGCTTGGTGAAACACAGTAGGACTCGAGTTTTCTGGTTCTTCAAATCATTGTTTTCACTGAAGTCTTCATCTGTGGTGTACTGTAGCATTTATCAGAGGGCAGTTTGGCTTCTCCCCTCTCTTCTGTGTTGGAAACTCACAAGATGTTCATTCTGTGGTTCCTGGAGGCCAAAGCTAGGAGAAGATGAAATAATTGCTGATGGGTCTAGCAAGGAATTAACTGTTACATGCATTGTCTTACTGGAAGCCTCCAGTTCTGTTTTGTTTTTGGGAAGCCTGAGAAGTGCAGCCTTCCCAATTTATGCAGATCATTTGCTCTGCTGTCCAAATGGGTTTGATTTGGGTAGGTTTCCATTTCAGCTGTTTCGTATCAGTGTGACTAATGATGTCCAAAAAAATACTGAAGCAGTTCTGTTGATGTTTCTTTCCTCTTTGTAGGACATCACTTTAAAGATACAGTTCCTGAGGCTTCTTCAGAGCTTTAGTGATCACCACGAGTGAGTATGAAAAGCTGTGGTGCGTTGTGGCTCCGTGGTATTGTTTGCCTGGTTGCAGTTACAGCAGGTGTCCTGGCCATGGTGCAGGCTGTGTGTGAATGGAATACTGTGCTGTCCTTAAACATCTATTCAGATGTTTGTGTTTAAGCTCCTGATGCAAAAAGAAGAGGACTGTGTTCTGGGCAGGATTGATGATGATTAAAACTAACCCATTTTGCTTGATGTTGAAGTGGACCGAAATGCTGTGATGAGCAGCCACTGCTGGCTGCAGAAATAAGGTTGCAGCCTTGGTGGTGCTGTTCCTGTCTTTTTCCTGAGACTCAGTAGTGAGGCAGTGTGCTCACATCAGATGTTTTCCCTGTGAGTGAATGTAAGTCTGTTCAAACATCAGGGTGAAATACAGGATGCTCACTGTCAGAATGCTGGGAAGATGTCGCTGCCATCTAAACACCAGCAATGGAGAAGACCTGGTTAAACTTGATCAGAAAATGCTAGGGGAAAATTAATTGTAAGCTAGTCATCAGGAAGCTGGTCTGGAAATGGAAGAAAAGCTTCTGTTTACTCCAGCAGAACCAACCTTCATAAGCATGCCTTCTGAATGGAAGCAGTTATGGGATGGTGCAGGTTTTTAATTTAGGCTTACCCAGGAGATATTCCTTCTCTTATACAGAGATAATTGTTGGTCTAGTTTGACTTGAAAAATGGCATCTTGTGTGCTGTCAGTGTGCTTTTGCTCTCATTCACCCCTACAAGATGGTTCCATGTTCCATACAAACTTCTGCATTGAGGCATGTTGCTCTGAAGATGCACATCTACGCCTGCTGCCTCGCTGCTCTTATTTACAGCCAGCAATGGTATTTTGTGTGTAGGTTTTATCTGGTACCATTGAACTTGTTATATATGTGTGCTGGAAGTGGCAATCTTGTTGATTTGGCAATATTAGCTGTAAGAACCAGGGATTTGCTGAACTTCTTCAAAGCTTAAGAGGAACAGATCCTCCATTGAGGCATTGCTCGCTGAGGAATCGCTCAGGTTTTCCAGTAAAATCTCTCTGGATGATGATGTTACTTAAGTAGCTGCTACAAAGATCTCAGACTTGTTTAGACAGAAAGCTGCTTTCATCTGTAGCATTTGAGCAGATGGTATGTGTGGAATCTGCCCAGGGTTTTTAAACAAGCAGTGGCCTGAACTCTATGAAATCACAGTTGAGAGGAGTTAGCTGAGGACACAATGGGAGGAAGTATTTATATCCTGATACTGACTGCAGTAAAATGGCAAATAAACTGAACTTGCAGAAACTGTTTGTGCATGGAGAGAGAGGCTGTATTTTCATTGCAGAAACCTGTTGATGCAGATCAAAAGAAGCTTCACATGGCAGTTCATTGGGCACTAATCTGGAAGATAGTGTTCGAAGCAAGAAGGCATCCCTGCCACCTTTCTGGTCTAATAACTTATTTTCTTCATAATTGCTGTGATTTAATAGGTTCCCTTTGCACACACCCACGGCTGCATCCTGTACTCTGTGTTTCTTGACAGTACCACTTTGTTGTCTGTTATTGATGAATTTGAAGTGGAGAACGTGCTGGAGCTGGGGAGTTGGCAGTGGGAGCCTCGAGAGTCCATTTCTGCATTGTCAGACTTGTTCTGCACAACTCTTCACAGAGAAACTCAGTGGCTTTCATTAAGGAAAAAAACACTATTTGATAAAGCATTTATGCAAATTCCTCCTAATATCCATTCCTGTTTTTTGTGTTGTATGAAGCCTTTAAATAATTCCAGAGTGTTTAAAATACCAGGAAGACTGAGTATTGCTGCAGTTGCTGCTTTCCAATTGAGGCTAATTGCTGATAAGCAGCACAGTCATTATTTGGAGGAGAAAAACTGTGGGAAGCTGTGAAAAAAATTTACTATTTATGACTGCAGAAATCCATCAAACTGTTGCTGAGATTTTCAAAAGCCATCTGGAAGCAAGTATTTGTAAAACTCTCCATACGATGATGAACAGCACAGAACAGGCATCTCAGGACTGCTTGGTGCTGAAAGCTGTGAGGGACCACTGAGAAAACAGCAGCTGGTGGGCTTAGAGTGGGAGTGAGCTGTGGTGGAGGCTGGTAGGGTGAAAGGCTGTGAGAGATGGAGAGTGAAAACTGAGTGCCTTGTTCTGCAGCCCTCAGAGGCCTGTGGCATTACGTCCCATAGAATTGCATGCTTGCTTGCCACTCGCATGGATTCATCACGTTTTTCTCCCCTGCTCCCCAATTGTCTTGTTTTAGGAACAAATATCTCCTGTTAAACAGCCAAGAACTCAATGAGCTGAGTGCAATCTCCCATAAAGCCAACATCCCTGAAGTTGATGCAGTTGTCAACACAGACAGGTGAGTAGGGACAGAGGGTTCAAGGACAGCAGCTGCTAGCATTCTGCGAGCACTTACACTGGGAATTTGATGTTGCTGTTTTGTTTGAGGTCCACCACATTTGCTTTGATTTCAGTCACAGTTCTCAGCAGGAGGCGTCCAGGTTTGTGTGGTGTTTGTGGTCATTAGCAAACTTGGTGTGCTCGTGCACAACAAAAACAGCAGCAACTTACAATGAGGGTTTTGATTTCAGAGCCCAAAGTTCTCAGCTTGGCTGCACGTTAGGCTTTTCTCACTGCTGGCCTTGCAGACACAGCTGGGAATTAAGCTGGGGTCCCTCTGATGCATCAATTGCTGCTGCTGATAGATCTTAGTTTTCAGATTCAGGAGCAGTTTGTGCACAGTGTCCATCTGTGGGCTGCAAAAACGTTTCTGAAGGTGCGTGCCTGAATTCTGTATTTTCAGACTGGCTGAAAAGGAGAATAAGCTTGATCAGATTAATGTTAAACTGCTTGCAGAATCTCTAGTGCTACAGTTGAAGATTTGTTAGATTTGCTGGTTCGCTTTAACGAGGTCTTTTATTGAACTCTGATATACAAACACACACAAACTTGATGAACTCCCAGGGTTGATTGTCAGAGTGCTCCTAGAATGCCAGGGAAGCTGCTTCCCACAAGGGTTTGGTGAACAGACTTGATTGTCCAGCAGAGGTGCTGCTGAGAATGGCCAGGTTGATGCATGAATGCACCTGCTGAGGATGTTGTGAGTGAGAGCGTGGTGAGAGGCTCTGCCTCTTTAAGGTGTGTTGTGTAGCCAGATGTGCAACATTGTTTGGTTTCTGGCATAAACTTAGTTTCTTTCCCATCCTTTGTGTTTTGTTTCCGTGCTGCCTTTCTTGATACATGAGTTCAAGGCATTGCTTCTGCACAGAGTTCCTGTAGGTAAATACTCCACTGAGGATGCTGCTTAGTACAAGTAGTGCTGCAGGCCTTTCACCTCTATAGTTTTATTAGTACATGCAGAAGGCTACCTCGTGTAGAGCCTTAGGATCATTAAGGCTGGAAGAGACCTCTCAGATCATCTCCAACTTCTGACCCATCCTGCTGTTAAAATGTTGGGAGAAAAGGAGTGTTTTTTTCTTCTAGGATTTATTCCTAAGTCGTGTTGCAGGTATTGCAGTTTACCAGAGCCATTGAGAACTCTGCCAGTAGCAGAACTGTCAGTGAATTCTCATGATGCATATGGAATACTGAGGGCTTTATCTTTTGGAGCACTTCAGAGTTGTACAAGGCGCAGTGTTTGCCCTCCCAGTCACACAGTCATTTCTTCCCATGTTTTAGGAGTCTTGTCTGTGATGGGAAGAGAGGTTTGTTGACCAGACTGCTTCAGGTCATGAAAAAGGAACCAGCTGAATCCTCCTTCAGGTAGGCTGGCTTTACATTGCAGCGTGCTGTTCTGAGTTGAACGGAAGGCTGTTCTGTTTCCATACAGCTCACGTGAAAATGCAGTTGAAAATGCTCAGAAACCATAAGCTGTGAAGATAATGTGGCTTTGTTGTGCTTGGCTAACAGTGGCAGTGCAGGTGAGGGAGAGTGCCAAAGCTTGCATTGGACCTCATCCCCATACAGGCAGTGGTTTTCTGCAGGATCTACAGATATCTCTCCAGCTTCAGATTGGAATGAAACTGGTTAGGAAATTTCAGTTGTAGTTGTGATAGAATTCCTATCCTTATTCCAAAATTAAAACTTCTTTTCTTTCGCTTCTCAGGTTTTGGCAAGCAAGAGCAGTTGAAAGTTTCTTGCGAGGCACCACCTCCTATGCAGACCAGATGTTCCTGCTAAAGAGAGGACTTCTGGAGGTAATGAATTACTTGTCAAGCTGCCTGTGTAGCAACTGAGGAGGATTTATCTGTAAAGAATTCAGATGGGGGTAAAAATACAGCATTAAATACTCTGCTCTGTAGCAACAGAACAAGTTTTGCAAAGCGTTTGTGAGTTCTTATGGCAGCCAGGCACGGGGCAGCCAACTCTATAGATTGCTTCTCTGGGAATTCTGTTTCATAGAGGAGACTCCTGAATTTTTGTCTTTGGTTCAAATTTAAGAACTGGACATGCAGGAAAGTGTTTGAAATTAGTGATCAAACCAAAGAACATGGGCTCAACTGTGGCAATAACGTGTTTCCCTCCCTTTCCAGCATATTCTCTACTGCATTGTTGACAGCGAGTGCAAATCACGGGATGTGCTTCAGAGTTACTTTGACCTTCTGGGAGAACTGATGAAATTCAATATTGATGCATTCAAGAGGTTCAACAAGTACATCAACACAGATGAGAAGGTAAATATTTGTCACCAGCAGGTCAGCTTATACCCTCTTACAATGCAACGCAGCACTTGGAAGCTCCGATTTGTTTGCTGCTTTTGGTCTGAACATGGAGCTCAGTGCTACAGGCACAGCGAGCTGCCAAAATGTCTTTGTGAGCTTTGTGTTGCTGCATACACAGGTATGTGATGGGGCAGGGCCAAGGTCAGGGCTCAGAGGTGGTCGAGCACTTAGTGTGAAGTCACGGTGGTTTGGGTTAATCTGCTGCTACAAATGTTCAGGTCGGCTCCAAAGAAAGAAAGTTTCGTTGGAGCTTCACTACAAAAGTAAATGCATCCTTAATGGAGACAGCTTAAAAACACCCACGTGCCTTTTTGCACTGTCAGATATTTTCTTTGATATTATTTGAACTTGCAGGTGTTTGAAGTCACACCTGATGTGATTACGTAGAAAACTGAGGTGTGCTTGTAGATCAGGAATGGGCAGCTCTCCTTTTGCAGAGGGATTTTGTGCTTTTATGCACAGCTCTCGGGGAGGTTTTGAGTTGCCTCCTATTCTTGCTTATGTGACTTCAGTTCATCTCTGGTTGCTGTCAGGTCTGGCAGATCTTGGAGAATAGAAGCAGAGATGTACAATCCTGGCCTTGCAAATACATCTCCTTTTATTCTTGTCAGGATTAACACAAATAATGAGTGTGTGTGTTTGTGTGAGAAGAAAATAACCAGATGTGTTTTGGCATTCAAACCTAGCCTAGACCTGGCTCTCTCCTTGGAAAGGAAGCTGCCCACATCTGCACATGCCTGTCTGGTGCTGTGCATGCTTCAGGTGTTTGTGCTCAGAACCCAGGGTGCTTTCTGATAACCTTCAAGAACTGCATTCGTTCAGTGTTGAGAACCTGGATGTTTGCCCAGCTGTTGCCCGACTCTGTAGCTCTTCCTGCTTAGGCTCACAGTTCCCCTGTACTGATGAGGTAATTCTTTTGTTACGCATTCTGAAAAGGGTATGAAGTGCTGCTGTGTGACCTCATCTGTGTGTGCCCAAGCAGGACAACTTCTGTTGGTTTGTTTGTTTCCTGGAGTGCTGAGTTGTTTCTCTTTAGTTCCAGATATTTTTAAACCAGATCAACAGTTCCTTGGTTGACTCCAACATGCTGGTTCGCTGCATCACGCTGTCCCTGGACCGATTTGAGAACCAGTCTGATGCTAAAGGTAAAGGACAAGAGATGGGCTTGATTGTGATGGTGGTTGTTTTAAGCCAGACTTCCACAGATCTTAGTATCAGACAGAAACGTTGCCAAGCACGTTTGTTCCTACAGCCTAACTCTAGCTCTTACTGCTGTGGTGTGTGATCAGCGTGTCTGAACTTCAAGCACCTGATGAGTGTCTTTTTCCTCTTGCTGCAGTTGCAGAAGTCCTGTCAGAGTGCCGCCTGTTAACATACATGTCCCAGATGTCCATGAGAATGTCCTTTCTTTTCCGTCTCATTAATATTATTCATGTACAGACACTTACACAGGTAAAGAGCTGGCAGTAACTTTCTTGTTATCTCGCTGGTGCTGGGCTGGGAGCAGGGAGGAACCTGGCTTTGCTTGAGGAGATCCGTGTCCCTTCTTTCCTGATACAAATGGGAGCACTTCCTCCAGGTGCTCTGAGGGCGTGTATGCAGCCAAGATATCAATTCTCGTGTTGTTTTTATTTCTAGGAAAATGTCAGTTGTTTGAACACAAGTTTAGTTATCCTAATGCTGGCCCGAAGGAAAGAAAAGCTACCGTTTTATCTGCGCACTTTGCAACAGATGGAATACACAGAAAAATATCCAGGCTTCATCCTGAACAACTTCCACAGTCTTCTGCGATTCTGGCAGCAGCATTACCTCAACAAGGATAAAGACAGCACCTGCTTAGAAAATGTACGTGGACCTGTGACTGTAGCCAGAATCAACTGCAGCAGTGTCTGACAGCCTGGCAGGAGCAGGGCTGGCTGCGTGCCCTGGGTCCTGCAGGCCAGCCATTGTGTTGCAGCTCGTGCCACGGTTTGCGTTGATGCTTCCGTGGTCTCTTGAGCTGCAGACAGGAGATGCTGCTGAGAGCAGTTGTCTGCCACGCTGTGTTTCAGGGTGCTGTGCTGGCATGCATGTACGTGCTGTGTCTTGGGCTGCTGTCTGGTGCATAGAATCAGATATAGTTGTCCAGTGGGTAAATAGCAGACAGTGGTTAATGTAGAGTGGGGCTGCTAATTGTTGCAGGAGATGCTTTTTGGCTTTACAAGATGGATGCGAGCAGAGAGGGTGTCTTGTCTCTGTGTCTTGCTCAGGAGCAGGAGCCTCTCTGCCAGCTCTGGCTTCATCTGCAGCACCACAGTGACCTGCTTTGTGCCTGATTTGGGCAACAGAGGAGGAGTTGGGGCTTGTGAGTGTGACCTGCTTCTGGGCAGCCCTGCCTGCCCAACCCCGTGCTGTTCTCTGCAGGGTTATGGGTGCCCCAAGGGATGGAATGCCTCCCCTATGAGGACAGGCTGAGAGAGCTGGAGCTGTGCAGCCTGGAAAGGAAAGGGCTCGGGGGAGGCCTGGGAGCAACTTCTCAGTACCTAAAGGGGCTGTAAGAAAGAAAGGGGCAGACTCTTGAGTGGGGTCTGTTGTGATGGGACAAGGCGAAATGACTTTGAACTACAAGAGGGGAGGTTTAGACTGGATGTAAGGCAGAAGTTCTTTAAAATGGGGGTAGTGGGCACAGGCAGTGGCACAGGTTGCCCAGAGGGGCAACAACTCCAGAGCAGTGGGCAGCCCATCACCGGAGGCACCCAAGCTCAGGCTGGGGCTCCGAGCACGGATGGAGCCGTGGTGTCCCTGTTGCAGGGCAGTTGGCCCAGATGCCTTCAGAGGTCCCTTCCACCTTCAGTGATTCTGTGAAGCTGGGCTGGATAGGAAGCAGTTTTCAGTTTTCTCTGCTGAATGCCTTTGTTGCCATGTCCTGCTTGCTGACCACACTGACTGCTCTCCATCTCTTCCCGCAGAGCTCATGTATTAGTTTTACCTACTGGAAAGAGACTGTATCTATACTGCTCAGTCCAGACCGGACGTCCCCCTGTGCCATAGTTAGCTACATCGACGAGGCATATATGGACATTGACAGAGACTTCTCTGAGGAGTAATTCTTCGCTCTGGCTCCTGATGGGCAGCGCTCAGAGGTTACCTGTCAGCCCGTGGATTTTCAGGGATACGCTGTGCTGTGTGTGCGCGGCTCGGAGCCGCGGAGCGTCGCCGCCTTGTCCAAACCCCATCCCTGCTCTGACCTCTGATGGATGAGACTTTGAAAGCTCTCTGGATTCACATTCAGGGATGTATTTTCCAGTTGTTCTGGGATAAAAAGAATCACCTGCAAAAAAAAAAAATGATTCCCCCCTCCTCCTTTTTTCTTTCACATTTTTCTCTCTCTTTCTCCCAGTCCAATGTGGATGGTCAGTGAGTTTTGAGCTGACAGATGAGGATAGTCTGTGTGTGCCAATGGAGTTTTGGTTCTTTTCCATGGCTGTCAGAATTAGTAAGTCGAAAAGCACAGCAATTGCCCTCCAAATGTGAGCTCCAAGGAGCCAGTCTGCGTGGGACCTGGATGCACCAGCCTCATGCAGAGGGCTCCCTCCAGCTGCAACTCTTCTGTTTGGGTTTAGAATCGGGGGTTTAAGGTTGGTCAGAGTGTGAGTGTGTGTGCGTGCTCTTAATTCCTGAGAGCCCTCGCTCCAGTCACCTCTTTATCATCTACTTTTGGATCATTTGGTACTAAATCTGTTCAGCTGTCTGTGTTAGGAGAGATCCTCTGCTCCTGCTCTCTTTCCTGCAGATCCTCCCCACCTGAAGGCATTTCACAGTGCTGCGGAGCACAGAGACATTTCAGTGGTGGAATTGCAGCAGGCGTTGGCTTTTTTCATGGAGCACTAGCATTAAAATCTACTAATTTTTTTAAACTTGGGGCTTGTCCCTTCTTGGGTAACTAATCTGGTTTTAAAATCCTTTTCAGGACCGTTGCTCTTGATGCTAACCTGCAATGGGTGGAAGTCTTACATCAGTCTCTGCTTCAGGTCCTTAATATCAACACACACATAAATCTTAAGTGCAATATTGAGCGGAGACCTCAGTTTTTCCTGGATCTGTTTTAATCAGAACGTGTTAAAGGCAGGGAATGAACACTCCTAGTTGAAAGTAACTTTGCAGGATCTGAAGGGAAAGGGGGGGAAAGCAGGTTTTGGCAGTTCATGATTGCCAGGCCTGTGCACACTCTGCCAGCTCCCCAGTGTTGAGTGTGTTGCTCCAAGGACATCACAGTCGCAGGAGTAAATACAGCCTGAAATCCTGCACCACTGCACTGAATTCAAAGCATTCCATCTTGCAGCTCCAGCTCAAAGGACACAGTTTGAGTTTTTAAAGAAATCTTTTGACTTTCATGAGACAGTTTGCTGTTGGCTCTCTGGGGCCCAGGGTTGAGGAGGGCCCTGAGCTGCGTGTTTTGTCTCTATCCCTTGGCAGCAGAATGAAGCCCCCTCTGCGGGGTCCCTGTGCTGGGACCTGGCTGAGAGGCAGAGACTTCCAGCCCCACGTTCAGGAGTTGCTCTCTGAAGTCACCCCTTGCTTATCTCCCACTTCTGTGTCCTGCTCCAACCAGCAGGCAGCGCTTTGCTTGCAGGCTGGGCAGAGCTGCTGAGCTTAGGCTGGGGCATTCAGTCTCTGCTCAGGGTGAGCCCTGGGGAGGCCGTGCCCAGCTCCAGTGTGCTGCTGCTGTGGCAGCTGCCCCTCTGCTCTCTGTCAGCTCACCCTCACCCTGTGCCCCCCCTCCCCCCCCCAGCTGATTTCTTTCTCATCTGTACTTTTTTGTTCTTGGCTATTTGTGTTTTTGGTGTATCTTTGCTTCTTCTTAACTGTAATAGATGTACACTTAAAATAAATGCTTCAAATTAAAAGGCTTTTAAGTTAAGGGATGCCTTTTCCATAGTCTAGTTAATTGGTGTATCCAACGATTGCTGCTATAAACCTGCAAAGTCTCATTTACATCTCTGTATTTATGTAATGAGCAGGGAGGGGCCAGGCTCTGTCTGTCCTTGGCTGTGCTCCCAGCTGGTGAATCTTCCTCCTCGTGGGGGAGGGTGGCCATTTCCACTCTGCCCTGCTTTCTTTTGGGCATTGCCTGCTGCAGGCAGCTTGGCTCTGCATCCGCCTTTAGGCTGAGCTGGCTGCAGAGGCCCAGGCTGGAAGCCTCTGGCAACAGCAGGTGCTGGACTGTAGGGGCCAGTTCTGCTTGCAGGGGGCCCAGAACCCAGCACAGGTGGGGCTGCTCGCTTCTCTGCCAGCCCCCCCAGGCAGTGCCCCTCACTGGGACCAGGCAGAGGCTGCGGTGGGTGTAAGGATGGGGACGGAGCTGGGAGCCTGCTCACTAACACATCTGGAAGCCTGCACTTCCCCACGGAGAGCTGAGGTGTGTGCTGCCCCCGTGAATGCCAATTTACTAACTGCAAATAAACATATTAAATGGAAACTATTAAAGAAATCTATTTTAAAGAAACTACTGGAGATGTCTTTTCTTTTGTAGTCCCTTTGCCAAAGCCCTGGTCAACCTCTCTGTGCTGTGCAGGACTGTGCTTACAATGGTGTGAGGAGGTCTGTTCTGCACTCCACCCTCCCCTGTCCCCCAGCTCTGCTCTGCCCAGCTCAGCGTGTGCTTGGGGGGCTCTTGTTTCCCACCTGGAACAAACTGGTGCAGGGTGAGGAAAGGCCTGTGGCTCTTGCTGCTGCCTGGCTGTGAAAGATGCTCCCAGAGATCCCAGCTCACCCTGCACCTCGCTGCTGCAGCCCCTCATACCAGCACAGACACAGAGGAGCCGCTCCTGGCACAGCTACGTTTATTAACTCGGCGCAAAGCTGGCAGTGACTGTTGCAGCCATTTGCCTCCAATGTACAGCAGGCAGCAGGGTGGGCAGCCACGCTCCTCCTACTCGTGCTGGTGAAAGAGAAGGGTGTTGGTGCTGCGCAGCTGCTCCTCTGGCAGCAGAGGGTGGGCAGCGGGGCTGGGCCTTACCTTGAAGGTGATGACCTCCTTGGTGCGGGCACGCAGCTTGTTGACCTGCGTCTCAGCGATGTCAGCTCGCTCCTCAGCGTCATCCAGCTCGTGCTGCACCTTGCGGTACTTCACCAGGTTGGAGTTGGCCTGCTGCTCCTGGGGGGAGGCAGGGCCAGGGGTGAGGGACTGACCTGAGTACCGCCAGAGAAGAGCAGCAGAGCAGACCTGCACTTACCGCCTCCTCAAACTGGCGCTTGTAGCTCTTGACCTTGCTCTGCAGCTTGTCGATCAGATCTTGCATCCGGGTCAGGTTCTTTCGGTCTTCCTCCGTCTGCAAGTTCCCCCCCACCCCAGTCAGCAGGGCCCCGGTGCTGGGCAAGACCTCTCAGCCCTGCTGCCCCAGTGCAAGGCAGCCCTGTGCTTCCTTTGCATCCACCAACTCCATGCCCCCTGGACTGGCCCTGTTGGGTCCAGCCCTCAACTGAGGCCTTGCCCCCAACACAGAGCAGGAAGGCAGATGCTGGGGGTGTTGAGTAACATGAGGGTCAGCAAATGGGGAGAAGCGTGGGGCCGAAGCTGCGCCCGGTGCTGCCATACCTGGTAGCTCAGCTCCTTAATCCGCCGCTCGTACTTGCGAATGCCTTTCTGGGCTTCAGCCATCTTCTTCTGCTCCGTATCCAGCTCTCCCTCCAGCTCACGCACCTGCAGCCAGGAGAGGCCACCTCAGTCATGGGAGCCCAGGCAGGGACATCCGGCCCCAGCCACTTCCCCAGCTCAGAGCAGCTGCAGCTAAAGGCTGAGCCACTCCAGGCAAAGTCCTTCGGGCCTGCCCTGTGTAGTTCCAGTGCCCTGCAAAGCCCATACCACCAGGGTTCTGCCCCTGTTCCCTCACCCTGGCCTCCAGCTTCTGGATCTGCTTCTTGCCCCCCTTGAGAGCAATCTGCTCTGCTTCATCCAGGCGCATCTGCAGGTCCTTGATGGTCTGCTCCATGTTCTTCTTCATCCGCTCCAGGTGTGCGCTCGTGTCCTGCTCCTTCTTCAGCTCCTCTGCCATCATGGCAGCCTGCAAGGCCAAGTGCACAGACACATCACTGGGCAGCCCTGCCTGGAAGATCTCTGAGACCTTCATGCATGCTGCATACCTTTGCCAAGCCACTCAGCACCATCCCCAGCCCCCTCTTACATCCGTGATGGCCTTCTTAGCCTTCTCCTCAGCATTGCGGCACTCCTGCACAGCATCCTCCACCTCACTGCTCAGCTGGGAGATATCGGTCTCCAGCTTCTTCTTTTGGTTGATCAGGCCGGTGTTCTGCAGGCAGAGAGGCAGTGCCACAAGGACTGGCCGTGCCCAACAGGCTCACGGCTCACCAGTCCCAGCAGTGCCCCAGGAGCCAATTTGCAGCCCCTCACCTGTGAGTGGAGCAGGTTGACCCTTTCGGTGGCCTCCAGCAGCTCCTGCTCTGCCAGCTTCCTGCTCCTCTCAGCCTGCTCCAGGGCAGCCCGCAGCTCCTCCACCTCTGCCAGCAGGAGGTTGTTGCGGCGCTCCAGGGCGGCCGCCTGTTCCTTCAGATCATCGTTCTGGCGCTGGGTGTCATCCAGCTCGATTTGCAGGTCCTGCGGGGCAGCGTGGGGTCAATTGTGACAGGGAGGAGGAGGGAGAGCTAGGAGAAGGCAGGGGTGGCACAGGGGCAGCAGCCAGCCCATCCCCCCCACCTTGATCTGGGCCTGCAGCTGGCGACCCAGCTTCTGGAACTCGGCAGCCTGGCGGTTGGCATGGCTCAGCTGGATCTCCATCTCGTTCAGGTCTCCCTCCATCTTCTTCCTCAGCCGGACAGCCTCATTCTTGGCCCGAGCCTCAGCATCCAGCGTGGCCTGCATGGAGTCCATGGCACGCTGGTGGTTGCGCCTGCGGGAGGGATGATGTGTCAGCTCCACTCCTGGGGACATCTGACCGGATCAGCCTCAGCCAGACGTGCTTGTCTCGTGGCCATGATGCTGCCCCAGCCCACAGCAGCAGCCCAGCCCGCCACACGCACCTCAGGTTCTCAAATTCCTCATCCTTTTCTGCCAGCTTCCTGTCTACATCAGCCTTGATCTGGTTCAGCTCCAGCTGGATGCGCAGCGTCTTGCTCTCCTCATGCTCCAGGGCTCCCTACAGACAACAGCAGCTCTGGGAAAAGTCCCTCAGGGAAGCCTCCCCAGCCTTGCCTCAGCCCCCACAAGCAGGACCCAGAAGTGCATCCAGTTGCCCCAGCACCACCTCCCCAGAGCTGTAGGGAGTCCAGGGGCTCTCAGGTGCAGCAGGCATCTGTGAGCTTCAGTGAGAAACACAGGCTCACCTCAGCCTCCTCCAGCGCTGCCTGGATATCGCTCTTCTCATTCTCCAGGGCTTTCTTCAGCTTTTCCAGTTCATG